TATGTTTAAACCTCTACAGATTTTTGATTTATATATGTATATCAGATTATCACCTTATACATAAAAAAAAAAAAAAATCCAGAAGATGCCTTGGTTAGGACCCCAGCGAACGCCGACCGAAGGGAGGCGTGATCATTGTGTTCGATTTATAAGTCACCAAAGGGCGTTCACTTGCGCAGATCCAACTTAATAAAGCCAAGGGACCGAGCGAGTGGAGACGAGCGTTCCCTTGTGTCTCTTGTGTAAAATATAGTTTTCTATTTTTCACGCTTGTGATTGGCTTATCCATAGAATATCTGACAGCCATTTTTCTCACACACAGACACACATAGACAACCATTTTCTAAGACTCTAGACTAATAAAGTCAGGGAATAACCATGTGGCATGACATACAAAAAAGTGTCCAAAAATGTTACCGCGGTATGCTAAAAGCACGATAGAAATGCGTCAGTGGCCCGCAGCACATAAAAAACATACTTTCGGTATACTTTCTCCGTGTAATCGACACAATTTAAGTATGCCCTTTCGAGACAGTGCATGTACGGTCAAGATTCTATTCTGCAATTAAAATCTCTATAGCTAGTCACTATCGTTAACGTGAAGCTAATAGAAAGTAGCGCTTGGTTGTAGAATATTTCGTTCTGTGGGCACGTCGCTAAAAATCGTGAAACTAGTATATTTATTCGAGTGTCAAACCCCATACAATATACCCTGTCAATATCGAACAGGTGTTTTTGACAATAGGAAATGCAACCGTCGAATCGCTTTGTTCGTGCAATTTGATATCTACATTTACACTATGTTTTCAGAGAATCTTTTGGGAAAGTGACAATGAGACGTTTGCAACTCCGAGCGATACTTCTTCAGGTCAACAGCATTTTTGTATAAGCCCCAACAATTTCAGTTTTGCTCGGAATCGAAAGCATTGGGACTAGTCGTATAAGTTAGAGCTGCTGCGTGGCTCATTTTGTAGAAAAATGCTTGTTCTGTAAAACTCAGTTGTCAAAAAATTCAATATATCATGTTTTTTATGCAGTCTATTTTAAGAAAAAAGCTAAAAACTAAAATGCATCCCGTTCTTATCCACAACCTATAGGTGATCATCTTTTCCTTCTAGTTCGCGAACTCTTTGATCTGTTACCTGTCTTATGTAAATAAAGTCTGCTGTTTATTTCTACTCTATTTCACTCATGTCCACTTCCTTTAGAATTAAAAATTGGGATGTTTGTTTCGGTTTTGATGTTCCAGATGTTAAAGAAGACGGCCAAAAATGGTACAGTAAATGGTATATACTGAAAATTGAATCATATCATCAAACGTCATTCTCCGGCATCTAGAGTACTCTTATTCATGTCAAGATAGAAAATGATTGGTGAAGCGATATTACCCACAGATTCCACTGTTCTTCTTGGCCGTGAAGATCAGAGCGAAGCTGAATATCATCCACATGCTTATAAATTATATCGTACTCGTTTTTGGATATTATTTGTATTCTCATTTTTGGCATTTAACCAATGCATGTTTTGGCTGACATTTTCACCAATCGCAAGATCAACAGAAATCTATTATAATGTTACAGAAGCAACAGTTGATCTTCTGCTTAATTGGGGCCCGATCATTTTTATACCCTGTTTACCGATAACCTACAAACTTTTAAACTCAAGAAATGGTCTAAGAAAATGTATCCTATTAGTGGCAATATCATGTTTTATTGCAACAATATTAAGAGTAATACCATCGATTGTGACTATTCATGGTAAGAAGCATGTTTCTGGGATCGCTGTACCATTCCTACATTTGGGTCAAATCATTAATGCTGCATGTGGACCGCTGGTGATGGCACCGTAAGTTTTTCATATG